CCCCGCCGCAGTCCGTCTTCCGCCAAGGCCAATTCAGAGACCACACATGGCAGCCGGGAAAGCCGCAGGTTAGGAAAGGAACATAAATACACCCGCATCCTATATTACATAAATACCCACGCCGGGTTATATAAATACCCGTGCCCTCTGTCTGGGTGTCTTACATAAATACACTGCACATGACCCCCCAACCCCTCCCCACTCACCGGGCTGTCGGCAGAGAAGGGCAGAGAAGAGAGGGTGCAAACAATCAGCCCTGCAGGCAACCACCACTTTTCTGGGCTACCACCCAGACCCGCCAGCGTTCCTCCTCCACCCCGGGAGCCAGGGCCCCAAGGAGAGCCTAGACCGTCCCAGCACTGTCTCCCCAAAAGCCTCCCAGAGGAGAGGAGAGAGGCTTGAGTCAGGAATGGAAGAGGCTTTCCAGTTCTTTGCTGCTTCTCTCCTTTGGGGGGCGGGGTGGGGGGGGTTGGTGTTGGAATAAACGAAAAAAAAAAAAAAAAAAAGGCGGACATGAAGATTCCGGAGTTTCAACTGGTTAAGAAAAATTAGACAAACTACCAAGCAGAACGGCACATGGGCAGTTTTCTTACTCCCTGCCCACCCCCCTCCCCAGCCAGGGCCCTTGTCCCTGGACCATTAAAATAAAAAGTGGGGGAACATCCCAGACACCCAGGCAAAGGAGCCCCAAACAGGCATTTATTGGGTGCAACTTAGACACTCAGGATCCCCTTTCCCTGTTCCAAAATCTTTCTCCCTGACGAAGGCTGATCCAAAAAGAAAATATGCAAGAAAACTAAGGGGAAAAGTTGGGGAGGGGGCTCACCCCACTTTGAGTTTGGGCGTGAAGAGCTTGGGAATCCTCTCTCTAAGGACACCCGGGCACAAACATAGTTTTATGTTCCACAGAGACTTGCAAAACATGGATTTCTCACACGCAGAAACGGGAGAATCCGATCTGATAAATAACCCCCACCCCTTTCTTTCTCTCCACAAAGGAAAACAGAATCGGTGGCTGGGTGACCACACACCCCATCACCCCAGGGCCCCCAAGCGCCCCCAGCCAACATGCGGGAGAGCAGCCTTGCTGACCCCCAGGTCTGGAGCACCCAGGCCAGGAGCGAAGGGGTTGGGGGCTCTGCTAATGCTCTGGTGAACCCCACCGAAGCCCAGGGTTTCGGAGAGAATTCCGAATCAACAGTATCGGGTGCACCCCAGCACCCCAGTCCCGGACCCCCTCCCTCAGCGTCCCCAAATCGCAGCCTGGGGTGGCCGCCCCGGCCGGCTGGGGCCTTGAACGGTCCAGCTGGGGGAGGGGGAGGCGGGCCGGACTGGGGGGGCCTCCCCCGGGCAAGCCTGCAAAATAATAATCACCCTCCTCCTCCTCGTCCCCAGTCGCGCCTTTGTCCTCGCCGGGCCGAGCGGGCGGCGCCCGGGCAGCCCCCCCATACCCGAGTGCGAACGCGCGTGTGTCCGCCCTCTCCTCCCCTCCCTCTCGCGCAAAAACAAAGAGGCGGAGGGAGCCCCGTTTCCCCCCAGGTTTGCGCCCCTTCGCGGGCCCGCAGCCCCCCAATATTTACCCCGCCGGGAAGGCGCCGGTGCCGGGCCGCTGCTCTGGGAGCTGCCGCGGGCGGGGGCGGCCCGCCTGGGCGGATGCCGGAGGATTCGCAGAGCCGCCGGGCGCGCCAGCCTCTCCTGGCCCAGCCGCCGCCACCGCCGCTGCCGCCGCGCTCCGCTCCACTCGTCCCGGCCGGGCTCAGGCTCTGGGATCTCAGCGCAGCCGACACGGCCTCCCTCCTCCCGGCCCTCCTGCCCGACCGCCCCCGCCGCCG